CTTGAAGTTATATTAAATATATTTATATTTGAATAAATATATTTAAATTGAATATATTAATGTACACTATTATATTATATTTATGTCATATTTATCTTTATATATTTTTTTGTATGTACATTAAGGAAAAAAGGAAAGACTTCCTTATTTAAATCTAGATAGGGAAGTTTTTTCTTTTTATATCAATAAGATGGAAGAAAGACAATTCTTTCCAATATTCTCGATTCTTTTGGCATTAAAAAATTTTGCAATAGCAAAAGTAGATATTTATCGAGCATATATATTTATACATTTAACAATCTTTGTCCTATATAAACTATATAAAATAATAAAAACTTTTATGCATAATTACAGCATAAAGTAGTATAATTAATTACGAGCGGCTTACAATGCTTAACACGTAATAATTTATATTCACAGCTAGCGTGACGAAGGCGAATGATGGAGCCTGTTAGGGCCGAACTGGATAACAAACGATTTACATTATACAATATAATCCACGGTAACAAATATTTTGATGAAATATTGGTAAACGTAAGAAAAATATTTATACATTGTAATGTACACTGTTAAAAATGTCATGAAATTTAATGTACTTTTAAGTTACACAAATTAAATTCAATTTTATGATACTAAATTAAATTTAATATATTTGCAATTGAAAAGTATATTTGTGTACTCTCACTTAACCCTAATCCTAACCCTAATCCTAATTGTACATGAAATTTAATGTACTTTTCATAAAAAATTTTACGAAATTTAGTATATTTTTTATTAAATTTATTTTATGAGAAATTTAATAAAAGTAAAATTTAGTTACATATATATATAACTTTATTTTTATTAGAAAATGATAAAATGCTATCATTTCCACACCACTTATCATGAGGTAGATAGCATGGTGCGCTTTTTTTATAATGGTTTCCCCAGTAGGCCTATTCCACTCTCATTCTTTTATGCAGGAATTATTCCAAATGCCGTCCTTCCTCCCTTGAATACTTTGGGATGTGTCGTTTAAAAAATGTGTTTAAAAAGATATATTATTATTATTACATAAAAATATATTCGCGCGAGTAATATTTAAAAATTCTTACCAAAATATCAAGAGACACGGTAGTGTCTCGCGTCAAGTGGGCGCGCAGCGTAAGACCGCCGCACACACATGTCTTACCGCATGCTTACAAATCCAAAATCATTATCCTATTCTTAATTATATACACTTTTACAATATATAACGCACGTCATATAAATACTTATCCTATATTAAATCTAAGCCGCATACTTATCTGAATTTGCTCGCACATATGAACACGCTGTATATCGTTAATCCACTTCATTTTCTGTTTTAAGTCTCTTTATTATTTTTCTTATTCGGTATTATTTGATGATCATCTTATTATATTTTGAGGTTTAGCAGCGCCAAGTTTTTTTACATAAAAAATTTTGTTATTTTAATAAAATTTTCTCATTTTGTGATACTTAATTTTTTGAGATTAAACGTTGTATTCCATTGCAAATATATAAAAGACTTTTGAATAGAAAAATAAAGATACGTATCACTTTGTCTCGTTCATTAAATGTTATATGTTGCAATAAAATAGATGTTCTTTTCGTAATTTACAAAATACAATAGTATATATTATATGTTGCAAGAAAATATATATTCTTTTCGCAATTGGCGCAATTTAAAGATTTTATTTTATTTTTTTTTTAATACAAGCATACGTACTACTGAAGGGTAATTTATAATAAAAAAATTAACAATATTACCACTTGAATTATATTATTTATGTAACGGTTTTTTATGGGAGATACACTTGGTGCCTTTTTTTACCTTTTTTTAAAAAGGTAATTTTGTTAAGATTGTAAAATTACAACATCTTTATCTTCATTTTCTTTTTCCTGAAAATAGTAATATTGGAAATAAAACAAATTAACATCGCGGTTAGTCGTCATTTTTTCTGTCCTCTGCTTTTAAACATTCAATATTAGTATATCTCACTTTATACAAATGTAATCTCGCAAATCTGATTGTAGTTTAATCCATCCGCGAGGAAACCGTCAATGTGGTTGCGGCAATATGTAATTTCGGCACTCTGTTTAATGCCACGTTTATTGTATCACACACCGTCACTGGTCAAAACGTTTTGAATATCGAGTTTTCGATCGTGAACTATAAGAGGGAATGAAGAATTACTTCATGTTTATGCAATACAAATGTCGTTTAGACATAATGATTAATGCTAAGGAGCAACGCTTATTATATAGTAAAAATGTATGTCATTTATTTAGGAGATGTACGTGATTTATTTGTGAGATAACATTTATAAAAAGGAATCCTGGTAAAAATATTACATATCGATCAGAAGTACACGAGGAAACATCTTATGATATAACAAATTGTAAATAAGAAAGATTAATATTGAATGATGGTAATCAGATCTAGTGAGAAAAACATAAACACTCTTATCCGTTATACTTATTGCTCTCATATTTATCACACTTATCCGTTATACTTATCGCTCTCATATTTATCACATGATGTAGTGCTTGATTAATATGATAGCATTGGTGATAGGTGGTGTGGAAATGATAGCATTTTAACATTTTCTTGTGAACCTACTTACAACTTTATAATAAAATTACCTCTATCATAAATATTTTTTTTTAATAATTTTTATTTTTAATTCTGAAAATTGTTGCCAAACATACAGTCTTTCCGCTTATTATTTGAATCATAGATTCAAATATTATTATTCCGCTTATTATTTGAATCATAGATAGCCGATTATACTTTCAGTTTCAAAATTTGGTAGCCAACGTTTATACAATACTATAAACATAAACAAAACTTTGACTTCTTAAATTTCGTTAGATTTTGTAATTATCGTATTGACTGTAAGATCGATTGTGCTATCGAAATGCAGTAGGCAGAGCAGTTTCATCCGAATAATTTGAATAATCGATAAACTGCATATAAAATCATTCAAGCTGCGTCACATCTTCCCTCGCACTAAAAAAAAGAACGCAATCTACATCTGTATTAACAAAGTGAATCAGCTTGCATATAGAAATGTACAACAAATATTTGTTTTACATCCGCAGTCTTGATAATGTCACGTCTAAGTATGATAATAAATTATTACTAATAATACGAAGTTCTGCTACAATAGTCTTCGCTATATTAGCACGTACAAATTAAATTCAATTTAAATGCAACTAGATTTTGCAATTTGCAGAAAGGCAGATCCATTTATATCCTTACATATGTTATGGCACTGATCCTGTAAATACCCATCCCGATATGTCGATGTTCTGTAAACTTATGGTCTTATTCCGCTTTTGAGTTTCAATAACGACCATCTGCCAATGATATCGTTGATTGACAAAAGCTCGCCGTACAATATTACACGGATACATAGTATCGCTTTTATGTGATTAATAAATACAACATGTAGGTGAAGATAATTGCGATTTTTTTAATGTTGATAAAATTGTGTGACATTATTTTAGTCTATCTCTTTGCTTTATGATTATTTATTTTTTGTTTATATGATAAAACCGGCGTCTTAAATGTTACAGATGTTTATTTATTAGCGTAATGATAAATTTTTGTACTTTTAAGATTTTGATATTACTAATTCAATAATATTTTGTTAAAAATTTGCATAACATTTGAATTGCAGTGGTAAGAAAAGGCGATGCTGCAATTTTGTAAGAATTAAATAATAAACAACACAATAGAGATATTAGTATCTCTATTGTGTTGTTTATATTATTTAATTCTTGCAATTGCAAATAAAATTGGTCACAATTCAGAATTGAACAAAGATACAAGAAATATCTTTATGGTTATACGGGACGAAGAACTTCGTCGTAACTAGTAAGATGCTATATTTTTTAAATACATTTCGATAAAAATGTTTTTAATGATTGAATATAATTTTTTTATAATAGTGTACAATGAAAAGGCTCCAAATTTAACAATAAAAAAAACTTAAGGAAATTTGCTAATGAGAGCCTGCACCAGGTGTTCAATGTGATAATAATGATTTATGTATTCACAAAAATATAATATAATTACAGACGTTTTGACATCAATATTGTGTCCTCTTCAAAGTGCAAAAAATATAATCCTCCAGAAACATTGAATTCATTTGATAAGTGTTGTTAGAAGTGTAAAATACATCGTTAAACTGTAATTTTCGTCAAGACTGTAATCTTCGTCTATCGTATCTCATCGGATACTCAAACTACTAAGAAAGTTAGTATAATAATATATTATATTATATTTTTGTGAATACATGAATCATTATTATCACATTGAACACCTAGTGCAGGCTTTCATTAGCAAATTTCTTTAAGTTTTTTCATTGATAATTTTTTTTAATTTGACATTTTAATTGCATCTTACAGCTCTTTAGAATTTGTCAACACTTGAGGAGACCTGCAGTTTAACGCTGATTCCGAACAACGAACGCGAAAAATCGCGTATGCAGGACACAGGTGAGATCGAACCCGAATCTACAGATCGCGAGTCGCACTGAGAGCGTCGAGTCACTATTTCGCATCACGAAACACGAATATTTGAAATAATTTTTTTATTCAGCAACAAATAAAATAACATTTTATTAAAGTTTATCTGTTAAAAAGTTTTATCTGTTAAAATACCGCCAGTTATCAACATTGCGTAAATGATTTTTAAATTTTAAAATATTGTTGTTATTCTATACACATATAATTCCTTTTAATACTTCAAGGTTTTCCATTGTTACATAAAGTTTGAAAATTAGAACGCAATAAGTATATTGAGTACTTTTTTTATTTATCATACGTTTACATGCATTACGGATATAACCACCAATTGGCAACTAGTTCCATAAAAGGAAGCGCAACATAATACTGCCAACAGTAGGTCGTCAAATTTCTGTTAGTAGATTACCTTAGTCATATAAAATAGTATATAATATCGATAATTGGCGGTCTTTGATCAGGCAAACTTTAACAAAATGTTATTTTACTTGTTGTTGAGTAAGAAAATATAAAATATTATTTCAAATATTTCATGCATAATGCGAATTGTTTATGCAATTAATTGATTCTAATATCTCCATTGTATAATTCTTATTGTATAATTTTTATTAGTTGCTGCATCACCGATTCTTACCAGCGCGATTCAACAAGTAAGTAAATATTCTTTCATGCGATCTCTTGTAGGAGATAAATGGATAAATATTTTAAATATTTAAGACTATTTAATATATTATTTGAATATGTTGTACTGTCAAACAATATAATCATGTTCTATGCTAAGCGCAATAAGCAATGATGTAGATATCATAATGTTTGTAGATCGTTTGAATTCTTAATAATTAATATATATAACAATGATATTCTTATTTTATATGTTCCATATGATTAAAAATATTATAATGAAAAATTTGCATACATCAATATCCTGTAAAGTGCTTCGTATAATTTTGTATTTTTGAAAGTAATATTTTCGTAATATTTTCGAAAAAAAAAATCGGGAATCTAATATTTGGAAGTTTAATTCGATAAACATTATAGAATTTGGATAACACAGTGGAAATAGTTCAAGTGGATGATAACAGTCCAATGGCTTACAGACAATCTAGTGAAGAGAAAAGGGATGATTCATCCCGCCCTGCAACCTGCAACTCTAATGACCCATTCGATAAATGCTTGCGGGAATGCTCTGTATAACTATAATTTTTTATTAAAAATCTTTTACATCTTTTGCTTTTTCTAAAAAATAAGTTTTTAAACCTATAACGGCATTCCTTTGACAGATATTATTGGTTTATGATCCTATTTGTGGTACAGACAAAATTACTTACATAAATCGATCACAACTAAAATGCGCGCAGTGTTGTGGAAAAAGTAAGATACTTCATTAAAATTTCATTATATTTAATAGTTATTTATTTTTTACATGAAAGACACATGCATGGTAGTAACATAAACAAGCTTTCTATTAGTGTAACAATGATCTCAAAGACTTTTTTGGTTTATCACTAAAACAAATTGGTGTTTTAATGTTTTCCAACAAGACAAAGAGATTCTTTTTGTCAATTCTTTTAATCCGTCTTTATTATTATTATTGTTTAAATCTTTGAAATTATATTAATTATATTTTTGAAGCAATGAAATTAATAGTTACTGCAATGCAAATTAAAATTGCAAACTAAAATTACAAAAAGAATTTTCTTTTTTACACACAAAAAAATGGAAAACCATTCTTCTAAATATTCTCGAGTCCAACATTAATGAATAATACAATAGCAAATATTAACTTACCAGTTATATTTAACAATATTTGCAATAAAAAATATATAAAATGATGAAAAATCTTATATATAATCAGGACGTAAGACAATGCGATTACAAACAATGTGATTAAAATAATCAACATACAATACTTTTTGTTTACAGATGTAACGATAAAATGTCTTGGAAACTGTAGAAATTGCAACTGAATAACTTATAGTTTTCATTGTAATACAATTTATTATAATAAATGTTTTAACCAAAATTAGCAAATGTAAGAAAAATAAACATGTTTACACACATATGTAATGTATATATAATATTATATGTATTAAATATCTTTATTTGTTTTATAACAGAAAATAACAGTTTATTGACTTTTTTCATTTTGATCTTTATATTGTGAATGATTTTAGAATTAACATTATTAATATCAAACAAATTATGTAAATGTTTTATTTATGATATTTAGATGTTATTATTGTTAATATAGATAGAATATATCTAAAAATACATCTCATATAAAGTATGTAAAATTATCCGCAATATAAATGTATATATCGTCTAGACAGGATTCTTGTTCCTTATAGATCACAGGTCTGGTAATTATAGCGAAGTAATTCCAACTATTCCAAGACTGATTGTACTGTCGGAATGCAGTAGGTAGAGCTTCTCTAGATAATCGACAATTTACACAAACGATATATGAAACCGTCGATATTGCTGTCACATTTCTTCTCGCACAAAAACACCGATTGAGTGAATCAAATCACTCACAAAAACAACCGAAAATATAAAGAAATATTTAATACCTGCTTTACTTTCAAGTCTCGTTACAGCATGCCTGAGTATTGCCAATAATACGTTCCGAAATTTCACGCAACCGATCTTCATTATACCAACACATACAAGTTAAATTCAATTCAAATGCAATTCGATTTTGTAATTTGCAGAAAGGCAGATCGATTTATTTACTTAGTTATGTTATGACAATGATCCTGTAAATACTCATCTCGATATGTCGATGGTCTGTAAACTTGCGGTCTTGTTCCTCTCGACAACGTCTGTCGATGGATAGAATCGTTGATTGACGAAAGCTTGACAATATTGCGCAGATGCAATTACAATTTATTTTGTAAATAAAAAGAATTTGAATGAAACAAATAGGATGGGAAGTAAGTAAGGCCGCTACTTTTGTCGTTATTTTTTATAATGACAATTTGGTAATGACGTTGCAGTTTTTTATGACACTAAAAATAATTAACTAAACACTAAGGTTGGTAGAGTTACTTTTGAAAAGTAACTCGTCACCATATTACAGGTTGTTTATTTGTTGAATAGACTTTTCATTTACTTGTAAAAGATAAATTTAAAGTTAAACTTATAATGGCATTTTTAATTGTCATAGACGACATTGAAATTCGATCCCATTTGTGATACGAACAACATTATTTATGGCGATCTGGGAAAATTGCATTGCGAGTAACGATGTGAAATAGGTGAAATACTTCATAAAAACATTTTTTTATTTAACAATTGTATTTATTTTACTATATGAAGGATATATGCGTGGTAACAATGTAAAATAAGTTTTCTATCAGAGTGACAATGTCTCGAAGACAAATTTTTCATTTTAAAGCTAAAATGATCAAGTTAGTTGTTTTAATATTTTTCAATAAGTCACGTAGTTTCTATCAATTTTTTTAACTGCCTTTATTATTATTATTTTAAGTTATATTAATTATAAAAGAAAAAAGTTGATATTAATACGTAAATTATTAGGAAAAAAGATAAAATTAGATAAGAGTTTTTTCTTTTTTTTATATATATACATCCCATATACACGTAACACAAAAAGAAAATCATTTTTCTAAATGTCCTCGGTTGTTCTAGCATTAACAGATTTTGCAACAGCAAATATATTTACCGGACATATTTATACATTTAACAATCTTTTTGTCCTATAAAATATACAAAATAATAAAAAATTCTTACATATAGTTACAGTACAAGGCAGTGCGATTGCGAACGCAGTAAAATATATACTCAACACACAATATTTTATATTTACAGACAGTAAAACCGAAAGATCGTGGAAAGTGTACAACAGACGAAACTGGATAACTTACAATTTTCATTATGATACAGTTTATGATAATAAATGTTTTAATGTAAGATTGGCAAACTTATTTTAAGAAAAATAAACATACGAGGATAATACGAGGAGAATATAAACAAGATTTTTTTTGTGTGAATACAAATCGCGACATTGGTTTTTATACTGAGTGACAGGTAGAGGTATCTGCTCATTTGTTCGAAGTGTTCGAACATCGCGACAATAACTGCAGAAACAATTTCCACGAGGCTACAACTATGTCGAGCGTCAGTTACGCCCTTACTTGTCACTCAGTGTAAATATATCTACTAACATTGATTTGTATTCAACACAAAAAAAAAGTTTTGTTCATATCTGAATCACTTACGTATATACACACCGTATGCATAATATGTACGCAGCAAACATATTTAATTGTTTTATAAGCAAAAATAAGAGCTTACTGACTTTATTTTTACATAATCTTTTTACATTAAATAATTTAAAAATTAACATTATCAACATCAAACAAATTATAATGGGTTTTTATGAGATATTTAAATTGTTAAAATTTAATTGTACAAAAATATATATAAATTGGTGGGAATGATTCCTTTTTTCAAAATTTAATTATTGTTTCAAATAAAATTAATAACTCAAATTTCTTAAAAAATCAAATTAAGGAACCCATTTCTTATTCTTAATAAAATAAATAAATCCACGTCACAAGTAATAAAATATGTAATTAAAGTCCTAAAATATGACTAGTGATTATTTAACAGTTTTACGATTTAAAAACTTTATTATAAGTGTAATAATATTTTTCATTCTTTCAACTTTATTTAAAACTTTTAATATCAATAATATTTAAATTGCATTAAAAAAATGCAGAAAATGAATCTATCATCCGATTGAGGAATCGTTTCGATCGGCCCACCTGACCCTTCGTGCAATTTCAAAGTTTCCTCCGTGAATCCCATAAAGATGTCTCGCCAATATCTGAGCTCTGTCTTCTTCGGCTTCTACAGCCATTTTTCTGTAGCGACGAACGGCTATAATGCAACCAGCGGTGAGTGCAATTTGAATTATTAACCAAAAGATCAAAAGACCCAGAGCTAGACTCGCGTCCACGCAAAAGAGACTGTCAGATTCTGGGAAAAAAAGAAACAAAGCTTGTGTAACTCCGTTAGCTCTGTCATATAATTTTACTATTATATCTAGGCTTTAAAAATGCAAAAATCGAATTTCTAAAATCGAAGTTTCCGACGCTTGGAGGTAGCGATACCAATATTAAACTCACTTCCACTGATCAAAAGCGTATCAGGATTTTCCCTGGATAAATGGTCTGCTGTTATCACTGGACTTTGAACGACGATAGATAGTTCTAATGGTAATTCCACGGGCGTGAGGTTTCTGAAAATTTCAGTTACCTCGGCAGTGACTGGCTCTTCGATCGATCGTCGCTTCCTGCCATATGACGGCTGTCCTCCTCTGCATATGGCCTTCAAAGAAATCATAAATTTCAAATTTTCTCATTTTTTAATTAACCTAACTAATTTATACAAAGATACTAAATTATTTTTATTCGTTAAAAAAATGTTATTAATATTTTTTTAAAAGAATTTTATCGTAAAAAG